CTTCCGTCTCGAGCAACGCTACACCCGCCGCCGTCACCGACGTTCCACCTTCGTCTCCAACGCTGTCTACGTTGACGGAGAGTACGTCTACCAGACTCCCAACAGCACTGGCTCTTCCTCCGGTTCCTCAAACATTGATGCCCTTCACGGGGACAAGGCCGGTGTTGGCTCGATGCCCGCCCCCTCGAGCGTGGTCATTGATGAGCACCACTTCCCTTCTGAGGTTCAACACCAGCAACAACCACCTATGGCTACTGCTGAGCGCAAGCGTCTGAACCGCTTCAGCTCCATTCCTCACTTTGGAGGCTCAAGCAACAAGCAGATGCCCAGCATTCAAGAGCGACGGAGCAGCATGATCCGATGAGTTACTTCTCGGACAGTCAAACCAACACAAAAAAGACAAAATAATAAAAAATCATGCGATGTTCCTTTTTTTATGATTGACGGCATTGGCGCCAAGCGATGGTTACAGCTTAGGCGCAGGCGTAGCAGGCGCATAGCTACAGCGTGTAAGCAACGGACACGATGAGATGAGCTGAGATGAGATGGGGTCGGATCGGCTTGGATTGGATCGGATTAAATGAGATGAGACGGGAGACCATCTGATGAATGAATCGGACTTGACGGATACCCCCAATTCATTCAAGGTTTTCCCTACGACGAAACTCGCCCAGTTTTGTTGGTACACGTTACAACATCAGATCACATCACTCACTACCTACTTACCTGACCTTTTATTTTGGTTGGGTTGTGTACCCAGCCATGGGGCCTTGTTTAACGACTTGTTACTTTGGTTACTTTTCCGTCCCACATGCTTTCTCTCCCCCCCTTCACTCGGGACCCTTTGGAGAGGCTTCATTTTGGACATCTGGGGGGGGAACGCTACGGACTGCAGAGCTTTGCAAGGCTGGACGTGGCATCGGTCATCACCGACTTTTTTACCTAATTTTCCTTCTCTGGCGTTCATTTATGCTTTTTTGCTGTTGTTGTTGCTTCTACATCTTACTACTCAGCTTCCCACGAGAACAGCTTGGGGTTGATGCATCACCATTTCTAGAGCTGACAGGCAACTGTCAGGCGCTGCAATCTGTACATAACACAACAAAAGGTATTGCAGGCGAGTTTTGTGGGAGGATACGGGCTTATGGACTTTGACCTGAGGTACCAATGAATACAAACAGATATCATGTTCAAACACTTGACTTGCTATCTTGCTGCCGTCTATGACGAACGAGGATGAAACAGGTCTTGATCGATACGAGATGTGGCATTGAATTCAATTTCCGTGGATCTGCGAGCTATGTAAGTGTCTTAGGCTTTCAAAATCCTAAAACAAGGTCTGTTTTAGCTGACCGTCGCAATGTCATCATAACTGTCAGATGCACAACACGATTGCGAATAAGAAGACATCTTTAATCATGGTCATAAATATATATATCAGTGGGTCACATGCATTCTTACACGAAACTCTAGGCTTCGGCAGCCGGTTTATAGCGTCTATATCTCTTAAATCATTGGATCGTCTAAGTCTGGGCCGCCAGAGACGTTGGATACTGCAGACGCCAGTGGCTATGCACAAACCTAAAGTGACAGAAGTCGTTTCATATGGTGCGATCGTCCCAAAATTCCTTGATCAACGCATAAGATACATACTTTTACGATGCAAGTGGCTGTGCTGTCTGGTCTGGTCTTGTCTTGTCTTCTCATATATGCATGAATGTCTGAGCGCGTAACATGCTTATGGGTTGGCTCATGGTCAATCAACCAAAGAATTGACAAGATGTTACAGAAACTAATCATTGAAAGACGTTTGAAGCAATAATACAGAAGCAAGAAATGCAGAGGCCCAACATTACCTCTCTAAATACCCCGTCACTTAAGTAGGCTACCCTATGGCTTCACCCTCGCTTTTGAAGTTCGTCCCACCAACTGAAATGCGGCATCTACTGGAGGGCTTATTTATTATTAAGTAAATTTTCAAAATAGGATATTGAGTACCGGTGGGCAATATCAAGCTTGCCTTCTTCATGGATGATATGTAAATATGTGTTCACTAGGTGGTTCAGTCATGTTAGTTCCGTGTCACAGTCTATTATTCCTACAATAAAGGACACACATGGAACACAGGATAGCGTAAGTGGTTATTCCTTGGACACAATATGTGGTGCAATTTCGAACCCGATTAATGAATAAACAAACACCCAAATGACAGCCTTTTACCACTGCCTTATGCAACCTTTGTATAAATTCAACTCACCCAAACTCCATGAACTCCCCTCGCTTTCCAATGCATCCAACAACTTTGAACAAAACAGGGGGGTATACGGCTATGATATAAAACCAAAAGCATTGGATGCCCATCCTATCTCCGGGTGAAAACCAACTTACGCCATGCTCAAACAACAAGTCCGTCATAAGCTCTCTCCACGGTTCGGCTTCCCATACCTGGAACAGTCCTCAGCTGCGCAAGACTGTCGATACGGCCACCAGCCTCGTCACCGTTGACGAGCTCAAGATAGTCAACTAGGTCGCGGGCCTTTTTCGCACCGAAGCCGACTAAGCTCCGGATCTGATTGAGGTCGCGTGAGTTGACAATATCGAGAAGATGCTGAGTTCGAGGCGATGCGGGACCTTCATCATCACCCGAAAGGATGGACTTGGTGGCAAGAGCCTTAACCTTGAGCTTTCGGGACTTGGGCTTTGAGGCACGGTGAGCAAACCCTTCCTCATCAACGTCTGCCTCGGCAGTCTCATAATCACCGTCTGCATCATCGTAGATGAGCCTTCGTTTCTTGCGCTCCGAACGAGGAGTTTCCCGGCGAGGAGAAGGAGCGGGAGCGTCTCCGTTCAACCGCGATCGCAGTCTTTCAATTTTGTTGAGCAGCTTTGCTTGTCCAGGAAAGTAGGGCAAAGCTCTCTCGTACATCTTGAGCGCGACCTCATCCTCGCCACGCTCCTTGTGTTGGCGAGCAGCCAGGAGGAACCTCAAACCCTCCGACTTGGAATCATCTCGCCATTCATCGCTGTCAATCCGCCGCTCGAGAGCCTCCAATCGCTTTTGCACAGCATCGCTGATTTCAGGTTGGACCGTTGGTTGTGGCTGAGATTCCTTTTCAGCTGCAACTCGAGCAGCAAGGATCTCACTGACCTTCTTCTCAACCATGGCCTCAATTTGAGCAGCGGAAACCGTAACGGATGCTGGAGCTGTAGGTCTTGAGATCTTACTAGGTCTCATAGCGGCATCATTTTCAGACGGCCGCTTGACTGGATTGACTCGACGGGCGATATTGGAGCTCACTAGGGGACGGCTGACAGGTGCTGCTGGCTTGGACTTGTCAGTGTAGACGCTGAAGGCCTTGACGGGCTTATTGGCATCGGCAGCCTTGTCAGCGGCCTTGGCAGCAACATTACCGTTGTGGACATTGGTGAGATTGGCAAGTGGCCGAAGAGGTTGACGCTGGACATTAGAACCTGTGAGACCCGAGTTTGCCCTAGCAACTTGCTTGTACACAATCTCATTCTCGATCTCCCTAACCTCAATCCTTTTCGCTCGAGAGCTGACGTTGAGACTGCTGAGGGTGTCGAGGTGATAACTTCGCAGAGGGGACAGATTTAAGATCATGACAGTGATTCCATTGTTCTGGCCCAGTGACAGAATTCGAGTCATCTTGGACTCCCGGTAGGGTATCCTCTTGTCACCGCGGCCGATAGCATCGATGCACTGGCTCAGGACAAAGAGACTCTTGTTGATGGCCGCAGATTCCACCAATCTCTCCTTTCCGTTGTCGGTTCGGCGGTTGTCTTCAGACCCGGCCAAGTCAATGGCGGATGCAGTGCTCTCCCTGACCATCTCCGAAGTCGTTTGAATCAGCTTGACCCGCAGGATAGCATGGCTGCGGCTACTGTGGGCATTGAGCTTGGTAGCTGCCGTGACACGGTTGTTGTTGGCTTCGATATACAGCTTCTCAAAATCCTTGAGGTCTTCGCAAGCTCTTTCTGACAAACCGACAACGATAGTCTTGCCATTGGACTCAGCTCGTAGTGGCAGACCGGTTGGCGTCCGCTTCTCGGGTGGCTCGAGGAGATCAAACACCTTGTCGTTATAGATCTCGTAGTAGGACAGCAAAACCTGCACATCTGTCTCGCCACGAGAATCCTTCATGATCTTCTTGCCCCTTCGAAAGACGTTGCTAAGCATCCGAGGAATCACCCCGCGGTCTGCCAGCTTCATCCCGCCTCGCATCGTGTGTGTTTTACCGGTACCAGTAACACCATAGGCGAATATTGTGACATCGTATCCCTGGAAGAGAGACTTGACGTGCGGCGCCACTGTTCGAGTCAACACACGATACGATACGAGCAGGAATGAGAACGTAGTGAACGAAAACAAGACGAAACAAAACGCGTTAGCTTATGAGATCGCACCTTCAGCAGTAAACAATTCCTCTTGAGTCGTAGATCGGTCGTACACGCCATTGAACGCGAATGAGAACTCCTCGGCCTCGTTCTTGGGGTTGGGAATCTTGACGACCGTGTTTGGCTTGCCAGAATCCGCGGTATCGGCTCGAACGATAATGTCACATTCGCGCTCCTTTTCCAGCAGCGGTCTTATCCTGGAGACCACTCTCACACTCATTGTGTAAGTATACACGTGTATTCGGTATCGAGAGAATTGTATTGGTTGTGAGGGCGAAGAAGCTCACGGTGTCGTTGAGTCGGACTCTGTCAGCCTACCAAAATGGCCGCTACCACGTCCTGAAAGTTAGCAAAGATTTGCTATAGAGAAAGATAGCATGGGTAGCGGTCTAGTGAGATGAGGAAGAAAGCACGGGCTGTTGGCACAGCAACGGTTGACCACGTGATATGCATGACGTGTGGGAACGGGAAAAGCCGCTAAAAAGACTGATTCGCTTTTGGTGATAGCGGGTCGAGGTTGAATGTGAGGTGGTAGATAGGTATACAAGCTGTACAGCTCTCTCAGAGCTCATATATCCAACAAAATGCGAGGCCAATTGCCCTTGACGAGAGCGGCGCGAGGACTCAGGCTGCGGGCATTACCCTCGTATACTTGCACTCAGTGCAGGAGTATTCAGATCAGCGCTGCGCCGAGCACTGAAGCGCCAAAGGTTGGAGCCGATGCCTTTGGAGCTCTCGAGGCAAGGGATCCTGCGGGTATGATTTCTATCTGCCATTGAGCAATGACAGAAGCGAGTCTCTGACCGTTGAAATGTTTAGATGCTCGATTCGAGGTTCTCGGCTCACCATATTCGCTCCTTTCTGTGACCTTGTCGGCATCGCAGAAGCTCTATACTCGGAGGGGTACCTTGGTTGCTGTAGCCGGCAAGCCTGAAAATGTACGCAGCATCACGACAAAGACACCGCAAGATTTATTAATACGATAAACAGGCCCAGTCCACTCTCTCGATCCTCAACCCGATCACACGAGCCTTTCTCGGCGTTCCCTTTCTCTACCAGCGCATCTCAGCCACGACGCCCATCACGGCCTTGATATCGACGAAATCACCGACAACCACTTTTACAGTCCTCCACCTTGACGGAACGACAGATTGGATGATCTCACAGAGAAACGCACTATTGGCTTGGACAGGTCACACTCTTGCGCCCTCGGCGCGTATTCAGAGCAGCCTCACACTGGCCCATTGGGGCAACACACTCCTAACGGGACGAGGTCTCGCCGCTCTATCAGCACCAGGGCAAATCTACGAGCTCACTCTCAAGGAGGGAGAGGAGTTTGTCGCACACCCCGGAAGTGTTGTCGCCTATTCGATCAGCCGACATCCGCCACAGCCTTTCCGCTTTAAGAGCAACAGCCTACGACTCCAGGTGCCCTCGCTATCGAGATGGATCTCAGAGCCTGAGTGGGTGAAGACTGTGCGCAACTCGGAGGTATGGAAGTACCTTGCAAGAGCTTTCTACAGCATGCGAACCGCTACTCGACGAACCATCTGGGGCGATCGTCTTTTCCTCCAATTTCATGGTCCCACAAAGATCCTCATGTCTAGCCGAGGAGTGCGCGCTTCAGACGTTCTCACTGACAAGCAAGTGAATGAGATTGCCGATGCGCAACCCGGTGTTCTGGCAGAAGCTCTCGACGTGAAGAATAAGCTCAAGCTGACTGACGGTACAGAGACCAAGCCTGCCCCTGTCAAAGCTGTTGAGCCAGAAGTGGAAGATAAGTCAGTGACGGGAATTCACGTTGCCACAGTTGAGAAGGATGGCAAGGTGAAATTCGAGGACAACAAGGATCTCAAAGAGTTCATACGATGAGAATGTGATATGAGTGAGACATGTTGCGGAGCATGAAATAAAAAAAAAAGGAGGCAGACGAGCAGGAGGCTTTTACACAACACAACGTTTTGTTTTGTCATGTATGATTACTTCCCTACCTATACTATTCATCATAGAGCTGAAGCCTTTATGTACCAATATTGAAATGTTTGAAGAGCTGTTACTTGATTGGTGCGCTCGGGAATCCGGCTCATACTGAAGTTGTGGCTTGAGTCTTGAAGAGGCACAGCTAGCACCATCACAACAGCGCTGGATGCCACTGGGTATGTAGGTAGGTACCGGTGTTTGATGGTCGGTCGGGCTAATCAATTCTCGCATCGGATCCGAGCGGTCTATTCAGTCTGGCCCCTATCTATAGGAGGAACAGCTCAACAACAGGCTAAAAGTGAAAAGCACGACGATCACTGACTCATCTCATGCAGCCAACTTATCTGACAAACCATTCGAGCCATTTCTTCTCAGTTGTATTAATAATGTAGGCTCGAAAGGAGCACTCGTATGTTACCATAGCTCGAAATTATTGGATGATTTCTGTTGCCAGCCACGCTTTGGGCTTAGACAGCTCGCGACTCGGCTTTGAGTTAAGTCCAATGTCAGAGTGAGACCAGCCTTATGTCTTGTGATAACGGGCGAAATAAGCAAAGGGCACCCTTGTTAAAGCCGATACTGATCCACACTTGGACGGATTTATCACCTCCGCCAAGGACGAACACCGATTGACGGTGCAAGGATAGACACGGTACCCCGTAGGTATTGGTTTCAACAACGGGAGATCTACCCCACTAGCTAACATAGATCATGTATTATAATACATAGGTAGGTAGGCAGATGTAAGACGGTGAGATTTACAGAGCGTACTTAGGTAGTTATAAAGGCTCTGCCCATATGGGGACTCAGATATACAATAACTACACAGCAATGATTTACACTTGTTGGCGCTGACATATATCATGGCCCAGTGGCAGCTTGAGTAACAAACACACAACCACAACATACAATAATAATTCTTTCCTTCCTTGCGTTAGTACCTACATCTCAGATTACACCTACACAGCAATCATCATGGCTCGTTCGACAATATCCTCCTCCTCCGAGACGGTCAATGACAGAAACCTCCAACCAACCACTTCGACAGACCCTGAAAAGTCAGGTCCTCAACCCATTGCCAAAACAGAAGCCAGCATACACCCAGAACCTGCCAACGCCGTAGCGGCAGATCTTGAGCGTGGTGACAATGATGAGAAGAAACAGGAACAACCGCCAGCAGGCCCTCCCCCAGGAATGGCACCAGCTGATTTCCCCGATGGTGGTTTCGAGGCTTGGCTTGTTGTCTTTGGTGGATGGTGTGCTCTGTTCTGCACATTCGGCCTTGTCAACTGCGTGGGTGTGTTCCAGAAATACTATGTTTCTGGACCGCTTAGGGACTATGATAGCTCTGCCGTGAGCTGGATCACCTCTGTTGAGGTGTTCTTCATGGTCTTCTGTGGTGCCATTGTATGTGTACACATCCTCCTCGTATCAATTCAATGAACTAACATCTTGCTACCTAGTTTGGCAGTCTGTTCGACAACCACGGCCCCAAGTACCTTCTGTGGTTTGGGTCCATCGCCTACATCTTTGGTCTCATGATGATTTCTTTGTCGAAAGAATACTATCAGTTCTTCCTCTCACAGTCCATCGTCGCAGCCATTGGATCAAGCGCTGTCTTCAACGCTTGCATGTCCTCGCTCGTCACCTGGTTCTTCAAGCGTAGAGCTGGCGCCTTCGGTATCATGGTCTCAGGCTCGTCCCTCGGAGGTGTTGTTCTTCCAATCATGATGGACAAGATGATTCAGAGCGTCGGCTTTCCCTGGATGATGCGGACCATGGCTTTCATGTTCCTCGTTTTGCTTGTCTTCTCTTGTCTCACTGTCAAATCGCGTCTACCTCCTCGCCCCAAGCCCTTTATTGTCAAGGACTACATCAACGGTCTCCGCGAACTTCCCATACTCATCACTGTCATAGGCTTCTTTTTCTTCATGTGGGGCATGTTTCTTCCCTTCAACTATGTCCTCCTGCAGGCTCAGGCTGCGGGCATGTCTGAGACTCTGATCCCTTACCTGCTACCTATTCTCAATGCTGTGAGGTAAGTCACGCCCCTTCTAGACCATGCTTTGCAGTACGTCCTGACTTTATCACAGTATCTTTGGTCGTATTATTCCCGGCATTATCGCCGACAAGATCGGTCGATACAACGTCATGATCATCATCACATTCATATCCGCCCTCTTTTGTTTCTGTGTCTGGATTCCTGTCAAAGATACAGCCGGCATTGTCGTATTTGCTGTCATATTTGGGTTCTCATCTGGTGGCTATATCAGTCTCGTCCCGACTCTCATCGCACAGCTCTCCGATATTCGCCAGATTGGTACTCGTGTTGGTGCAGCGTTTGCGATTCAGTCTTTTGGTGCTCTGACAGGAAGTCCCATCGCTGGGGCTATCGTGTCTGCTCAGAATGGTGACTATCTGGGTCTGCAGCTGTTTTGTGGCTGTTCTATGTTGGCCGGTTGCATATTTTTCATCTTTGCGCGCTATGTGCAAGTCGGGTTGAAGGCTGTCAAGGTCTGATGTCTGTCCAGCACGAACGGAAGAGAAAGTCACAGACTAGAGAGTCGCTGAGTTGGCAAAACAGGATCAAGGGAAAAGGCAAATGGAACCCACACGAGACACGGGGTGGATGAAAACATTAAAAAACGGTTAACGTTGAGAACGCAAGATAATCAGCATTTAACGAAGAAGATATCGCTAGCTTATACTGGCGTGAATAATGAGATTGCCGTCAAGTCAGATCAGGGTGGACAGACAATGCTTGTGGCACACATGAAAGAGCAATATACCAGAATAACTATACTTGGATGAGTTAGCAACACCTCCAAATGAGCTTGCAGTAAATAAAGATAGAATGAGAGGGTTCTCAGGATGTAGATATTGGTGAGCGTTGGAATCATTTAGATCATAAACAGCCTCTGACTCGAGATATCATCATAGAACGGCACACAAGAAGATGAAAGAAATCAGACGTACCACGATGCTTTACAAAGAGGAAGTATGGTAAATGCATAGATAACGAGCTAAGTGTCTTGGTACAATTAGTAATTTCCCTTGAAAATTTGAGAGACTTATAGCAAGTGAGAATAGGGGCTCAGGATGTAGATATTGGTGAGTGTTGGAATCATTAAGATCATAAACAGCCTCTGACTCGGTATATCATCATAGCAAAGTAAGAGAAACATGGAAATACGTGACCTACCATGTGATATCATAACATGTGGTATTTCCTCATGATAGAAAGCTATGAAGGTAATCTGCCATAGTCAGTGAATAGTTCAAAATAACATCATCAAAACCATGCGAATTAATAGGGGATTGTGCTCAGGATGTAGATATTGGTGAGGTTTGGAATCATTTAAGATCATAAACAGCCTCTGACTCGGTGTATCATCATTGCAAAATGGGGAGGGAGGAATGAAAGCTCAGATAACATACCTTTTGGGAGAGAACTGACTGCCCAAACGTGAGTTGGCACAGTTCGGAGCTACACATGGAAACAAAACAAAACTCCAATTCTCTAGTGTAGCATCTCTTCCTCGCCCAGAAGAGTTATGTACAATCGCTCCCGTCCCGTTCGCCCGCTTGTCGCATCGTGCTTATTGGCTACCCTCGACAGTCGCCCTAATGGGGTTAATCTCAACACCGTACTTCTCACTAAGTCGCTCCACCCTTCGCTCCTCATATCCAGGAGGTCGGATACCTGTCAAAGTGTGAGAGGTTGTCCGGCCACATGAAACGTCGTGCGCGACTTACCTCGGCCCTCGCCAATCTCTGAAATAGTCTGCTCAATTGGTAGTCGGGTGCTTCGTCGGATGATCTCCTTGCGCTCGAATTCGTCGTCCTCTCTCTTGAAGCTATCGTATCGGCCGCCGAGGTAGTGGAACATACCCTGGAAGATTGCGAGACCACCACCTAGTCCCATAACAACGGGCATTCGTCTCGCTGCAGCGTGTTAAATCATGCGGTTTTTGCGATTTGAGGTACAAGATCAGGTCATACTGGGAAGGCCGAGAACTGAACCTAGGGCAAAGCCACCGAGAGCAGCAGAGAAGGCGTCGTCCTTTTCGCGGAGGTTCATTGAGCTTCGTGAGACGAAGACATATGCGGCGGGAGCGGCGGCTATATGACATAGTTAGTACCGCTAACCCTCCAATTGGTCTCGTCCACCACATCTATCGTACCTCCAATACCGATAATATGAGCACCTCGGGTGAAGACGCTCAAGATGCCGACATTGTTCTTGGCCATGGCATTCTTGACGGAGGAGAGGAAGAGACCACTGAGAGCACCGATCACACCAGCCTTTGCGGTGTCATCGAGGACATCGTAAGGCTTGAAAAGGTTGTCGGCCTTCTTGTGAGCCTTCCAATTCGCGCTCGACGGGTGCTCCATTGCGATTGCTGTGAGGGAGAGGAGTTGGGAGCTTTTATTTCTTGGACCTGAGGTTGAAGCCGAGCTATGGAAACTGTAGGATTGAGGTGCCTCCACAAGGAACACGTGACGTTGGTCATCCAATTGCTCTGCTCTCATTGGCTCATGAGACTTCCATGAAATCCAAGTCCTCTGTCGCAGTACGTACCTCCATCATGCCCCACCATCACTGGACTCAGAGAAAAATTGGCTATGAGCTTAACAGAGATAGTCTTTGTCTTGAGCTTTAATTCTGAGTAGAGCTATTCGACGGGTTGCCATTGACTCATATAGAAGCTTGGCTTCTATCGCTTTTATGCAATTGTTTTAACTTCCGAGACTGCTCGACAATAAGATTGTTACGCAGCTCCTTTTCCTGGTCGACGTTATCCTGCCAAACCTCTTATACGACTTAATCTCACGTTTAGAGAAGTTGACCCCAACTTAGAATTAATTCATCAATACGCGATATTGGTTTTCTGTATAGATAAGACCGAAAGTATTGATTTCCCCAGGATGGAACCAACAACAAGTGGAGGAGAGACAGATCTACCTCACCAGGAGCCATCCTCACTATCAGAAAACTCAGCCAACACTGGAGATAGCGAGCAAACAGTCACCACCGATTCTCACACCAGGCCAACAGATAATGTGCCCCTTACAGAGGGCTCAACTATTCCTCAAAAACGGCCTGCAGATGACGAAGCCGCCGCGCCAATGTCGAAGAACGCTCTCAAGCGTTTAAGAAAACAGCAGCAATGGGAAGCTGGAAAAGAGGAGCGCAAGCAGAAGCGAAAGGATAGCCGAGTCGCACGCAAAGTCCGCAAGCGTGAAGAAAGGGCAGCGCTTATCGCCCAGGGCATTGATCCAAATGCCAACAAGCAGCAGAAACCTCCTTCAGTCAATGTGCCTGTCACACTCATCTTCGACTGTGACTTTGAGCAGTACATGCGCGAGAAGGAGCTCATCTCACTCGGCAGCCAAATCACAAGATCATACTCGGAGAACAAAAATGCGAGATATCGTACACACATCTTCGTCTCGAGTTGGAATGGAAAACTGGCTGAGCGGTTCCACCAGATCCTCGATGACAAACACAAGAATTGGAAGGGCATTGACTTTGTGGACGGAGATTTCATCGAGTGTGCGAAGCAGGCCCGGGAGAGGATGAAGGATCCGAATGATCGCATGGTCGATCAACTCCAGAGGAGCTTGGATAACAAAATCCCTTGGGTAAGGGATGAAAAGGACCCTCTCCCCTTGCCTGACCCCGATCCAGAGCCCTCTCCCGAATACCAGGATATCGTTTACCTATCATCAGACTCACCATACACACTCGAACGCCTCGAACCCAACACAAGCTATGTCATCGGCGGCCTCGTCGACAAGAACCGCGAAAAGGGGCTGTGCTACAAACGAGCAAGGGAACGTGGCATCCGAACGGCTCGGCTGCCTATCGGCCAGTACATGGTGATGCAGAGCCGGACGGTTCTAGCGACAAACCACGTCGTCGAGATCATGCTCAAGTGGCTTGAGTATGAGAACTGGGGCGATGCGTTTATGAGTGTCATCCCTAAGCGCAAGGGCGGTCATTTGAGAGACCAAAGGGATGATTCAGGTGAGGCAGAAGAAGCTGAGGGGCAAGGGGTCGAGGAGCTTGAGGAGGAGGATCAAGAGATAAAGGACCCTGATGCTGGGGAGACCACACCTCAAACCAGTACCCCTGAAGTCGAAGCTCCCTCAAAGTAGAAACATATGCATTGGTGTCATGCTGCGCCAGCCAGTTCCAAAAGCAAATACCAAATGTACCAGACGTACTAAATGTACTGTTCATAAGTCTATACCATCTCATATCGCATCTAAAAGTCCATGGTTTCATCCTCCCGCTCCCGTTTAACCTTGACATCCTTCTCATCCTTCATCAACCCATTAACAAAGTGTCTGAACTGCTCAATATATGGCTTCAGGCTTGTCTTTTCCCAGTCAGCTATGCCTTTGCCACCCTCCTCCTCCTCCTCCCCCTTCCAGGAGTCGATCTCGGCCAAAAGTTCCTGCACCGTAGGCACACCTAGAGGATCAAAGTCCTCGAGATTCTTTGTATTAATGGGCACACAAACTCGGCCGGTACCAGGATGTACGACAAAAGGACTCTTCAGCAAATGGTTGAGTTTCTTACTGACTTCAATATCCAGTCGGGGGTAGGTGTATTCTAAGACGATGTCTTGCTTGGCTTCAAGGAGCTGTCTGGCGTCAAGGTTTTTGCTGGCGCCTGACTTTGCTACTGCGTCAATGTCTGCCCATTTTGAGGCTGATGCACGTCCTGGAGCGGCATCCCATTTCCTCCTAAGTGATTCGTTGAGGTTCTGGTTTGGGAGCAACTGTAACAGCTTCTCAGATTGCTCAGCAGAAGCCCATGGGTCTTGGACATCCAGAACGTCTTCTTGGAAATGAGCTTTCAGGATCTCCAGGCTTCGTCTGCAACGAATTAGTATACCGTCTTCACAAGAGTCTATACCATGAACTCACGCCAAATGGGGATGCAACGGTCTCCTCACATTCACCTTCTTTCCGCTCTGAGCACCTCCCTTGACCACCTCTAGATAGCCTGCAATTGCTCTTCTCTTCTGATCGTCCATGCTTCGAACCTTCTTATCGCAAACCCAGGCGTGAGCACCTCGTCGTCCTGAGTACACCCACATGATGTGCTTGAAGCCAAAGTCTTCCCTCAACGCAACATCTACCACTTTGATAGCCATTGTCATGAACTGCCAACACTTGTTGCAGATGTTCGCCTTGTCACAACATGTTCGAATATCATCGTAATCTGTCAAATCTATATCGAAACACAGCTCTTTCGCGAGGGGCTTGAAGGCGGATGAGTTGCGGAGTTGCTTTCGGTCACGGGGGTTGGTAGTGTACACTGGTCCGATTTCGAAACGAGAGGGCATTAATCGGAGAACGTCCTTGCGAAGCCTGTAACAATATGAGTGTTAAATCGCAGCGAGCAACAAGACCACGTACATGTCGGCAGTAGGGAAGGATTGGTATCGGAGGTAGGCATCGTTCTGGAGGGTGAAGGCAAACTCTCGGTTGCCAAAGTCGTTTGTTGGGGTTGGACTGTGATTGAGCCACTGAAATAGGTATCGCCAGGGGAATAATCGCTGATAGAAGCTTCGCATGACCTCAGGATCTGAAGCTTTCAATGTCATAGCATCGCTATAACTAATTAGTTCAACCGCTGTGCCCAAACGGGGACTTTACGTACAAAAGCGGTGCAACTTGTGAGCTTGGCTGAACAGCCGCAGAACTGGGGAATTCCTCGTCCGAGTCGACATCGTCGAATAGGTCCTCGAGTTGTTTGGCTTCCTTTTTGACGTCGTCTGTCTCGTTCATCTTGACATCAGCCTCCGGCGCATCAAGACTCCCATCAGAGATTCCTGTCTCCTCCGTAGGCTCGTCCTTAACATTGCTTGGGGATGACATGGCTTCTTCTTCGACAGAATGGGGCATTGTGATTAGTCGACAGTGATTGCAGTCGCGATCAATTTCAGAGCGCCTAGAAATTCGAAGTTGTCGTTGCTGGTTGTCGCAGTGATGGGACTGGAGGATCGACTAAAGATGGTGGTCGAGGGGTGAAAGTGAAACGCGTTAAGACGCGTCTTTTCGCGTAAAGCTGTTTCCACTGCTGGTAACTAAATAAGGTACGTATCTTTTTTAATCCACATCCCACCAACAAGATTCATCAACCTTGTAAGTTCTCAATCGGATTCCATTTGCTCCGTAACGATATAGCTACCTCTGAATGTCAAGTAAACTCGACGCCTGATATAAATTAAACTTTTGAAATCGTTTCTCAAGATAAAGCCTCAGTCTGTATCTTGATCTATATGCTTGGGTATTCTCCAATATGTCTCCGCCTCTTGTGCGAGGTCTCAGCTTTCCTCGACTTCCTCGATCTTTCTAATCATGTCGCCACCAATCCTGGCAATCTCTGACAACACTGCCTTACGGTTCACCACGACTACATCTCCATCCTCGTCGGTTACCTTGTGGAAATTATACGGTAGACCAGCTCGGAACTTCTGCTGCTGAAGCTTCGGGTTCCAGATCGCCCCTATCACAGCATCTTCCTCGTCGCTGTTGTTGTTTCCCCGGAAGAATACAAGTGAGTCGTCATATACACGCTGTAGCTCCTCCATCAATACGTCGACTGGGTGAGTACGGATGGGGAGCGGTGCGCGACCCGTGCGATCATCGAGGTTTTTGAATTGGGAATGACGGCGGGCTGAGGGGTCGGAAGCAGCCTCTCGAAGTATTGAGCGAATAGCTTTTCGAGATAGATGGAAAAGGACATCGTAGTCTTCAAGAGAAGTTTCGAAAAGCTCAGTAGCATCAATACGGTATCCGCTGTCCTTCACAAGCTTACATGCAGCCTTGGCCAGTCGGGTCATGCGTGAAGCGATGAGCTTGGAAGGTCCACTGCGGGTATAAGCGAGACCAGAAGTGTCATTGGAGGTGGCAACAAACATGACTGTGTGGTTCATGTTGGGGTCCTTTTTGCGCCGAGACTCAAGCTCTTTGCGAATGTTATGGCGATCGTCATCAGTCAGCTCCCCTGCAGAGTCGACAATCAGAGGCTCGTCACGCCAATCCCAGCGCGACAGGAATGTCAGGGTGCGTAAGAAACCTGTTGAGGCACTCGTAGGGGCCCTCCATGGGTATGGTTGCAAGAACACACGTAGAACGAAGAGCTCAATAAGCTCCTCGCTGATGTGACTTGAAAGCTTGTGAGAGTTGAACCAGTTTTTTACCAAGCGGATGGTCTGTGATAGAGGATGAAGGCGTGTGCAAAAAGTTGAGATAGTCTGTGTATGAAGTGGTAGGGTAGCAAAGAACCAATTGGTCCTAGCAAGCACTGCTTCCGACTCTTCTCGAATGTGAGCATCAAGCGTTTTGTTCTTGATTTGGCGCTCAAGGAGGGT